TCATCTTTAAAAAAAAACATTTTTTTCTAGAATGCATATACAATATTTTTGTTATCGAGTTAAAATATCTCCACAATGCTGTCTATCGTGCAACATCTTGTACTTGAAAGACGACTGTTTGTGATTTAACAGTCAGTAGCTTTCCTTTTGCTGCTTTCATGTTCCCATTGTTTATTTTGTGACATCTTTAATCAAGGTTGTTGTGTTCTGCGACTTGTTTTCCTCCTTTTCCTAGCGGTTTTAAAGAGTTCTTGGTATTCTATGCTATGTTTGCATTTTCTTTCTTGTTTTCATATCTGTTCTCTCCGTCATCATCACGTTTCTTGTGATGCCAAACAGCTTGTTCTTCATGTTCTACATTTCTCTCTGCACTCCCAATGTCAGGGCACCGTACACCACAATGTTTAGTTATTTCCTTGATTTGTAATGGTGACATCCATTTCATAATTTTGCATCTTTGGATTGGAATTTCAGCCTTATAATTGGCCTATATTCTCATCTCTGGGTAAGGACTTTTTCCATGTCAACAGATTAAAATAACGTAGCGCATTTGAATTGCCATTCCCTCTTGCCGGTTCAAACAATAATCACATGCTCAGTGTGAATAATAACAGTAAAAAAAAACACACATCATTGCATCTTAATCTTCCAAAAACATCGAACCATTAGCTATCTGGATGGTGTTTGTTCGTAAATTGTTTTCATGAACTGGCTTTGAAATGCATAGCCGGGGACAGACCCAAAGGAGGAGACGTAATACAGTTTCAGTTTCCCTCTTTCCAAGGGACCTTTTTTTGCCAGCATCAAAGTATGAAAAATATAAAAAGGTTTTACCCTTTCTGCATTAGCCACATGTACGTGTAGTTAATGCGGACTTGATTCCTTGCGAGATATATTTATTTGGTGTTTGAACGTCTTAGCACCAGTTTTATCCCCATAAAGGGTGAAACCTATTTCTATTTTTTCATACTCCCTCTTACTTTCTAATCGGAATTAGTTTAATGTTGTATTATGACTTGCGTTGCATGCCAGTCTTGAAATCGCACATATGTCATAGGGTTGCTTAAAGTCCACTTCCCAACAAATATCTCACTTTAAGTCCCTGCAGCAATACTGAACATCGGACCGTCTCTACTGACCCTGCAACTTTGGAGGCAAGCGCTCGTGGTTCGTGCAAATTTGTGAAACTCCATAATTAAAAACCCATCGTTGAGAAGCAAATGGGACCTACAAGCACGTGGTCCTTCTCTGAATATTCAAATGATGTACCACATGAAAAACACTCCTTAAAAATACATTTCCCAAACACAACGGAATGCAAACCCCATTGGAAAATGAGTCTCCAGACTTGGGCTTCCCTCGATAAATAAAGTGAAGCGTCTGGCACGTTGGTCTGAAAACTGCTGTTAACTGTCTTCTTTGGTTCTTTCGGTAAAGTCACGTAAAATGAGAATAAAATAATAAATTGATAAAATAAAACAACACAATAATTTATCAATTTATTATTTTATCCTCATTTTACGTGACTTTACCGAAAGAACCAAAGAAGATGAATCCTTGCAGTCACGAAAGCTTTAAATCGAAATTTGCTGTTAACTGGTGGCCCTGAGTTTGAGTCCTGGCCAAGTGGCATATGTACCTATCTATATTGCACTTCTTTCGCACCGTACGTAGCCAACCGTGCTAATCGGAGGCGCAACAATTATTTAACTTCTTCAAACGCCTCCCTTTTCCCCCCGCTCGTCCCCACAATTTCCCTTCACCAACCCGTCGTGAGCAGCGCCGTTTCCTCTGCCTGAACAACCATCACGGCTAGCACGGCACAGGGAGACAACTTCGTCCAACGTTGGACGAACAAATATAACTGCAAATATTATGTTGTGCGGGGAAACTCCCCACCTCTGCCATGACATCTGCCCATCATGGCAGAGTAGGTTAAATTACTCTCTGGAGCGTCTCTCCTGAAGGGAGGATGCGCCTTTCCACCGTTACCGCGTTTACAGCGCACTGGGGACCGGCGGCGTAGACTTGACCGTCGATGCAAGTGCGGCTATCTGCGCGAGCCATCTTCGCCGAGCTTTGTCCCGGGCCAATCTCCGGGTGTGCCCGACGCCGATTTCTGCGAGAGGCAGGCCCTCGCGACGCAGCAATGTAAACAAATACCCCCGGGGGCCTCTCGAAGCCGAGAGCAACTAGACACAACACAGGTACACGTGAGAAGCAGGCGGCTGCACGGAATGTCTCTCGGCTGTGAAAGAACTAAAAAGAATTTCGGGTTGGTTTCCCACGGCCCCCGGAAGGCTGCTTACAGCTTTTGAAGGACTTATCAGCAATCTCTTATCGTACAGCTTTTGACAGACCAAGTAGTGTATTTTTTTTTATTTTTTTGGGGGATCCGACCGTTAACACTTGTGCCATTCTGAAGAAAAGCTCATCGCGTCACGCCGCGTGCCTTGCCACCCAAGGCCGTGGTTAAAAAATAATCCACTCTCAGAGGCTGAAATTGCTCCTCCCACCACCCCCCATATCCACCAATTCCCCTGGGCCTCCGAGCATCTGGTGGCGTCCTCAATCAACCCAGACAGCGCTCAGAGGAGCTGAAGGCCAGCACCGAGTGGCAAACAGTGGCGTAGCGGAATTCTCGCAGTGGATTGCTTTGTATCTCTATTTATGAGGGCAAACAACTTTATTTTGGAGCAAAGCGAGGCGGCTGCTGAGAGAGCACTCTCATGGGTGGACCGGTGGCCATTGGAAGGCTTCAATAATTAACAAGACGCGCTGGGGGCTACTTTTTTTTAAAAGTAAGGATATTATCGGTTTAGCAGAATGCAAAACAATGGAGATGCCAAAACGTGCCCGAGATAGAATGACAGCAGCAGAACACCTTCGGGTATGGCTAACTTGTAGATTTCACACGTGCTTTTCGGACAGAACCAAAACACAGAAACTGGCGACAGTTTTTTTGGAGCACACAAAATGCACGATGCGAGCCTTTTGTTGTTGTTGTTGTTAAAAAGGCCATTTTTTTGATGGCACGACTAAACATTTGAAACGCAGCAAAACGAGACGCAACCGAGCGAGTAACGGCAAGCAAACAAAACAATCACGCTGGAATGCCCGAACGGTGAACGGCGCGAGCAAGCGGCAGGCGGCGTGCCCCGTGCAGCGGCACGCGCCGCATAGGGCACGGAGGAAGCCACGCGCGCGTACTCGCCCGACGGGGCCATCCACCACCACCACCTTGGTGTTGTTGTTGTTGTATCGCAGCACAGCAGCATGCCGTGCACACACGAGCAGATCTTCTGCAGAAGCGAGTAGACACCCATGTCTGCCGCCGTCGTAGCAGCAAAGGGACCAACCCCCCCCACACCCACCACCAAAGGTGTTCAATATCCAGGGAGGGAAGAGAGAGAGAGAGACAAAATAATAACAATGCTGCGTTACGTAAAGCACGAGCAGGCAGGAAGGAGAAGGAGGGGGGGGCACAATCCTCAGAGCGAGGTTACGAACACGTCCGGGAGACGAGGAGGAGCAGGAAGAGGATGACGAGGAGGAGGAGCAGGAGGAAGAGGATGACGAGGAGGAGGAGCAGGAGGAAGAGGATGACGAGGAGGAGGAGCAGGAGGAAGAGGATGACGAGGAGGAGGAGCAGGAGTAAGAGGATGACGAGGAGGAGGAGCAGGAGGAAGAGGATGACGAGGAGGAGCTGGAGGAAGAGGATGACGAGGAGGAGCAGGAGGCATTTGCTCTGGCGCAGCGTTGCCGAACGCCGGCAACACACAAGTGCGTGCGCACACGATGTCAGCTCTATGTCAGCTATTGCAGAGGCTGCCCGAGACTGCAACCCCAGCAGATTGTGAAGGGAGCACAGTGGGGTACAGTGCGCAATTGCTGGAGCGGTCATCCGTCCTGTGCATCCGAGGGCACCGCAGCACGTCGAGCCGCTTCGCATCGATTATGATCGATTCCCGCCCCCCCACCACCGCCCCCCACCACCGCCCCCCACCACCGCCCCCCACCACCGCCCCCCACCACCGCCCCCCACCACCGCCCCCCACCACCGCCCCCCACCACCGCCCCCCCTCTCTCTCTGGGGGGGTGGTGGTGGGTCGCAATCTTGCGCCCTCCATTCGCACAACGCTTTCTGCCGCCACTCAGCCGCCACTCAGCCCTTTTTATCGTTTCATAATAATCATCATGATGGGCCGTTGGCTCTCCACTGCTGGATGAGAAGCTCCACCCACCACCACCACCACTCACGATCCGATGCGAACGACATCCAACCAATCACACTCCAGCAACATGAACCGATCTCGGTCGCTCCGTCTCCACGACGGTCAAGCCCTCTCGGACTCGCCAATATTCCATCAAGGCGAAGTGGCACCACAAGGGGTGGGGGGCGAGTGGTCGGGAGGATGCACTCGGTCCGAGGCTGGTTTTACACACGTGTGCTGTGTGGTCTTTTCTATCCAAAGGAGGACATGGTGAAAAGGTTAGAGGGGGATATGGGTAACAGACTGTGGAGAGAGGACTTGGAGCAAAGACAAAGATCCCCCCTTATGGCATTAACGGGCAAGTGCTGTTAGCGAGCACCTATGAATTCCGGCATGGCACTCCGAGGTGGTGGGTTGCCAGCACCATGCCCGACCGCCTTTGTCTCCCCAGTAGCGATGTCTTTACACACCGTACAAGGTAATCCTTTTAGGCGGAGTCGACCTTGAGGAGCCCGGGACCGATTTTGATCATCGTCACCGGTGTTGACCGCGAGCGGGAAGCTTCCCGTGCACTTGGAGCCCACCGTAGTGGGACGAACGCTCGAAAAACAACGGCCATGGAGCAGCGGCTCAACACTCGCGACCAGAGGCTTACTCTAAGCCCGCTTTCAATAACCGACCACAATAAACACACACGCGCACGCACGCGCGCGTTCCTTTTGCCGCAGGGGTGAGAGCGACTGAAGCTGCGCGGATCGTGAGCCGACTCCGCCGCGTGCCGAGTACCTCCGCTGGCTGTAGGCGGCGCCCCCTCGCTTGGTGGATCCATACGGGGCCGTCGTGGACAAGCAGAGGAGATAAAGCATTTTCATGGCGCAAGAAAAGAAGTCCTGGCAGCACGTGGGAGGGCAATGTTTCATTCGTGAAGGGCGAGCGAATAAAATGTCCTCTGGGCTTGGCACGGGTTGAGGTGGAAGGCTCCCTGGGAATAAATTCAGTCCAAGTTTTTTGGAAGAACAAAAAAAAAAACAGCTCGCACTACAAGATAGCCTGGGGTTTGTTTTTTTGTTCAGATTAAGAAAAGCATAAAACTTGCTGTCCACTGAACCTTGGTGCATACGGCGTTTGTTTGTACTAAAAATAACGCATTATACACATTTAAAAAATCATTTAAAACAAGTTAAAACCACGAGTGCAACTGCAACATGGCAGCGTTTCCTTCCCCACACTGAAATGAACTTGGTGAACATCTGCCCAAACTGGTTATGTCTCTGATTCAGGAGCATGGAAGTCGAACACAGTCACCACCTCCTCCTAGCTGTGGATGCTCCTGGGCTCCAACTCATGAATTACCTGTTGGGGTTGTTTTATTCTAACCCGCCCCCCCCCCCCATGGGCCTATTGGCCAGCATAGAATCTTGTGCCACGGGTGGTGGCAACTATTTAGGTATACCATTTTCTGTGTATGCATAATTAATTAATGTGTATTGTGATAACAAACTTGTTATATAAAAGTCATTGCGTAATTAACTTGTATTGGTGATTTAGAGATGCTGATTTCAAACGGGACATGTTCCATCTCAGGTGGAACCAATCAGTTATATTTCTATATTTTTTTGGTATGGGCCAAAGGACGACATTCTCTGCTTCGGCGGAGATAAGCCTCTTCTGCAATGCATTAAGCCTCACAGGGCCCAACTGCAATTTCCTAATTGCGTTTCACACTGCCAAGTCGTTCCCCTCCCATAGACCTGGAGAGTGGATACTGGTTGTGTCGGACAGGCCATTGTAATTTACTCTGGGGAAAAGAAAAAACAACCCTCGTGTTTGTGGAGATAACATGTTTTTTTATGTGTCCAAATATATTTAAAGATTGGAAATTGTCTGTAACTGCTTCCTTCCTGTGACCCCAAACATTGGACTCCTCGGTGGACCCCCCTGATGCGTAATTTTGACGATGACAATCTAACTACAGTGTGGTCTCGGAGGCCTTGTTACGAGCTCCGAGTTGTTGACTACTTAGTTATTCCCAAAATAAAATGGTTTAACTTCGTATTTTTTCAGCCTCTGACTATAAAAAAATATACATTTTAAAAATGGTAAATATGGTAATGCCACTATCAAGTAGTTGTTTAATACGATCCATATTTAAACATCTAAACCACATTTGTGAAACTAAATAAAACACTTCATCACGTACGTCATTTTGTGGGAAAATTAAGCTGGACTATAACTATGGACAATTTTTTAATTGTTTACCTTAACCCCCATAGGTAAAGGTGCAGCCCTACAATTGCTCGCTCACTCAGCCGCTGGTGGAAGGGCCTCCACTAGAGGGACCCCAAGCTGTGTAAATGCCAAGGCAACATTGCCATGGACCCCAAGCTATGTTCCTGGAAAACTTCACGGAGATCGTCAACACGCCAAGGGTCGTGAATGAAGAGTCCCCCTGTGTGGGCTTCAGTGGGGCCGTCTGGTCGAGCAGCAGAGACACGAGAGGCCAAGAAACGACATTCCAGTCGTGGGCTGAGCTCAAGGAGGGCTAGCTTGAGCACCATCCTGTGGCGGGGAAAGGAGGCGGTGCAAGTGGTTCAGCCGAGCCCACAACAGCCAAGAATCTGCTGTCCCTGTCTGGGGGGGGGGGGGCGCTGTTCAGCCCTAGCACATGGGGGGCGAGAAGCCGTGCATGCGTGACGAGTGCGGCAAGACGTTTTTCTCGCGCTCGGCCTACAAGTATATATATATTTTTTTCTTTTCCGCTTGTGTGTTAATGTGTGTTTACCCCGGATATTTTAGACATGGCAATTCTCCTGCTGTGTATCCTACTGCTGTCCCTCCCGGCCATATCGAGTGCCACACTCAACTCTACAAACAGCTACCCTCGTTACTTTGTGTCCATACTTGTTGCTCCATTTGCCACTACACCTGCTAATGAAACAGCTCATAGACACTTCTACACTCCATCATTGTATCCTTTTAAACCCTATCTTTGTCCCATTACTTCACCAGCACTCCTTCCAAACTTAATTCTGCTCTTATAAATAACACCATCTGCGAGCTACTGTTATTCGTCCAAGGTTCGCCGCTCTTCATCCTTTCATAGAAAATACTTGTGCAAACTATTAATTATACTTTTCTTATTTCTGGGTGGTATTGAGCTTCATTCTGGCCCAAATGAAAAGAACTCGTATAATTCTGTAGATTTTTCTGGCAGGAAAGGTGTTGGTGTTCTACATGTCAACATCAGAGGGCTTGTGATTATATTAAGTCAACTAAAACTAGAAGTGGCAAATCTTGACCCGGACATTTTTTTGCCTAACAGAAACATTTCTCACTCCTGCCGTCAATGACTTGCAGATTGCGATTGACAACTACAACCTTTTTCGGCTTGACCGAGGATCTAAAGGAGGTGGAATTGCCATCTATGTTCGTAATACTATTGCATGTTCACTAGCTCACTCCTTGTTTAAAAAATGTTGCTTTGAAGGTCTGGCTCTCAGAATAACTCTCCCAAACTATCAACAGATATTGGTAGTGTGCTGCTATCGACCGCCTAGTGGGAAGGATGTTGAAGCTGCATCTGCACTGAGAGAGCTTTTTGGGGGCCTCCCTAAAGGTGAAATAGTTTTAGTGGGTGATCTAAATTGGAATTGGCTAAACCCGCCGGCCGTGGCCACAAATTTTGCAGATTAATTTAATCTGTTTCAATTAATAAATGTCCCCACAAGACCCAACCTAAAAAATTCGGGACAGTCATGTCTGCTTGACGTCCTATTGACAAATGCCCCTCACAATTTCACACTGACTGGTGTTCTGTGTAATAACCTTAATGATCACTCCTTCATTTTTTGGGTGAGATCATCAGCCAGACCCAAAGCCCCCCCCCTAAATTGGTTGAGAAGCACTCTATGAGACACTTCAGCACTCAGGCAATTACTAATGATGTGCTTCACTCGGATATTGACAAGGTCTGTGATATCCCCAACCTGACTACAGCTTGGGAGACCTTCAGGTACACATTTCTCCAAATTCTTAACAAACATGCTCCGTTGGTTAGATTTAAAACTAAAGGCAACCGTCCACCATGGTTTGATCCTTTGATTACAAAGCTCATGAAAACTAGGGACAAGGCTTGGGCATGTGCTCAGAAAAGTAATTTGGTCAATGACTGGCTAGAATACAGGATTTTAAGGAATAGATGCATCAAAAAAAATACGGCATGCAAAAAATGCCTACTTTTCCTCCACTCTCCTGGAATCACATGGAAATGCCAGGATTTTCTGAAAAACAATCAAATGTATCGAAAAGGCATCCAAAACAGACAATCTGCCCGTTGAGCTTAACTAAAATGGGGAATATTTTTCAGATCCCAAAAAGATAGTTGACAATTTTAACCTTCATTTTTCTGAAGCTGGTAATCTTTTTGATAATGTATTGGGAATCATCCCTGCTCATGCAAATTCCTACATCCCTGTCCAAACATTAAACAAATTTAGTTTCCAGCCAATCCACGAAAGTAATGTTCTGAAACAACTGTCCTACCTCAAAGAGTCCTCCTCTACCGAAGCAGATAGTATTCCCGTCTTTGCTCTACAAACTGTTGGTCACCTAATATACAAACCTATAGCCCATATTTTCAACCTGTCCATCAAAGAAGCATCAGTTCCTCTAGAATGGAAACATTCCTATGTCCGTCCACTTCACAAAGGGGGCCCTAAAGATGATCCAAATAACGACCAACTTATCAATTTTGTCCCCGTTGATGAAATTTTTTGAAAAATTATTGACCTACCAAATTAGCAGTTTCCTGTCCATCAGCAATCTAATACATCTAAAACAATCTGGGTTCCGAAAAAAACTACAGCACCAAATCTGCTGCATTAGACTCTCTGAATCACATTTACAGTAGCCTAGATAAAAAAGCAGTACTGTGCCTGTCTTTTCCTAGGCCTGTTCAAAGCTTTTGATACAGTAGACCACAACACCCTGCTTAGTAAACTAAGTTGCCTCGGTTTTTCTGAAAACGCAGTAAAATGGTTACAAAATTACCTATTTTCTCACATCCAAACTGTATTCACAGATGGTTGGAGGTCAAACAGTGTTAAGATAACAAAAGGGGTTCCACAGGGTTCCATCCTCGGCCCCCTTTTGTTCTCTCTTTATGTCAATGACTTGGGCACTGACCTGGATCATTCCAGGGTAAATCTTTTTGCAGATGACACGATACTGATTACTGCTAGCCACTCTCCGGATGACGTGATTGCTAAACTACAGGGTGATTTCAACAAACTACAACATCAGCTAGTTGCTCTTAAACTAGTCCTGAATACCTCCAAAACCAAGGTGCTATGCTTCTCACCAGGACTAAAGCAGGAAGTTATTTTTCCCCAATTACATTCCTTAAATAATTATCAAATAGAGCAAGTCAAGATCTATAAGTATCTTGGGGTCATCCTGGATTCAAAACTGAATTTTGAAGATCACATTGATTATATTGGTAAAAAGACAAAAATCAAAATTGGTTTTCTGTATTGACACTGCTTCCCCCCAATGTTCCGTTTGGAATTGATAAAAGCTACCATACTGCCTCTACTTGACTACTGTGACATCGTGTATAAATCAGCCCCAAGTACTGTACTGAAGAAGCTTGATTCCATCTATCACTCGGCCTTAAGATTTACATTGAACTGCCCATATAGGACTCACCACTGTGATCTCTATATTGGGTCAAACTTAACATCTCTTAATGTTCAACGGCTTGTGCACCAGATCTTATTTATTCATGATGTACTTACGAAAAAATCCGCAGACTACCTGCTGGATCTCCTCTCTGTTTCAAAGAACAAATTTGACCTCAGGTCTTCGCTCATTTACCAGCTTCACATTCCCTATTTCCGTACAAAAACTGGAGGAAGGGCCTTTGCTATTGATGCCCCCAGGGTCTGGAATGCTATTGCCAATAAACTGCAACTTGAATCGCTACCAATGAGATATTCTCTCAAAACTGCTCTCGAGGAGTTGTACACCCCTAGCTGCCACTGCTATTCATTGGCGTAAAATAAAATAAAATGTTTTCGCTCCGGATGACGCAGCAAAGTATTATCTGTATATTGATTTAGCGTGCTGATCTTAAAGGTGCATTGAAAAATTTGATACTCCGACTGATGCTTCTGTTGTTGTGGAGTAACTCATGCAGCCAGCTATGGTTCTAGGATTTGGTGTTACATGTTATTTATGTAGTTTATTGTGAAAATCCGGTCACAGTCCCTATGTTCACTATTACGTTGCACTTCTGGCTTTATTTTTTGGTGATTTCGAAAAGTTTTTTGGTTTGGACGTGTTTGTTTTGTTGTAGTACA